TAGTAGCAGTAGTAGTAGTAGCAGTAGTAGTAGTGGTAGTAGTAGTAGTAGTAGTAGTAGTAGCAGTAGTAGTAGTAGCAGTAGTAGTAGTAGTAGCAGTAGTAGCTGTAGTAGTAGTAGTAGTATTAGTAACTGTAGTAGTAGCTGTAGTAGTAGTAGTAGTAGTAGCAGCAGCAGCAGTAGTAGTAGTAGCAGTAGTAGTAGTGGTAGTAGCAGTAGTAGCAGCTGTAGGAGTAGCCATAGTAGTTGCAATAGTGGCAGTAGTAGTAATAGTAGCTGTAGTAGTAGTAGCAGTAGTAGCAGCAGTAGTAGCAGCAGCAGTAGTAGTAGTAGTAGTAGTAGTAGTAGTAGTATTTCTAGAGTTGGGACACATCTGAGGTCATGAGGAAGCTGATTCCATCTGTGAACAGCATAGTAGCTAAAAGCAGCCTCACCTGTTTGATTCTGACCCGGTTCTACCAGCTGACTGCTTCCTAAGGATCTCAGAGCCCTGCTGGTTGTATATACAGGAAGGAGATCCGACATGTATTCTGGCCCCATGCCACTGAGTGATTTATAAACTAGTAGAAGTACTCTGAAATGGATTCTGTAGTATACTGGTGACCACAGGAGTGGTGTGTTCGGTTCTGTTGGTCCTTGTTAAGACTCTAGCAGCAGCATTCTGAATCTGAAGCTGCTGTTGCTTCACAGCTTTTTCAGGGAGACCAGTAAAAAGACAGTTTAATAGTCCAGCCTGCTGGAGATGAACACATGAATGAGTTTCTCTACGTCGTGTCTGGACATGAGACCTCTGAGTCGTGCTATTTGATGCTGAAGATAAAACGCGGAACTAGCTATAGCCTTAATGCGACCAGTGAAGCTCAGGTCTGCATCAGTTATGACTCCAAGATCTCTAGACTTCTTATTTCCGGAAGGAGGAAGTTTGACTGCATCAATCCTTCACTTGCACCAGACACTGACAGAATGAGTCTAGAGCAGTGGTTCCCAACCTTTTTCCCAAGGGACCCCGTTTTGACGACCCCCTCCCATTCTCTCTTCCAGTACAAACATTATTAAGAAATGATAAAATGGTTCAAGCACATTTTAATATGCTTTGATTCAATAGATAACAGTAATAGTAGGCTCCAGTACAGAACAAAGTCATTAAACCAAACAGAGCGTAATGTGCTTGACAGTTTGTGTTACTTTTCTGAACACATTGTTTCTTGTAAACACGATAAATCAATCATTCCTTTCAATAAACGTTTGACACATAAAAAATACACTGAGCAAAATGTACTTAAATGTGTACATTACTGTTTATAGTAGATTATTTACTGTAAAGGCTGTGATTAATCAACCAGTCCTATCTTTAATGAACTTTTGACACTTGAAAATAAAACAGTGAGCTGAGCAAAATGTTCTTAAAAGTGTGTTACTCTTTCTGTACTAATTATTTCCTGTCTTAATATCAGTAAACTTTTCACTCATGAAAAAAAATGTGAGCAAAATGTAGGCTATAAACAAGTAATAAATGAAGTTTTAACCCCTTAAAGTGGAGAGGTCCTGGCGACCCGCTGAGAGGCTTTGGCGCCCCCTTGTGGGGGTAGGGACCCCCAGGTTAGGAACCACTGGTCTAGAGGACTACAGTCACTAGATGATAGAGCTAGGTAGATCTGGGTGTCGTCTGCATAACTATGATGTGCATTATTGTTATTGTTTATGACGACTCAGTGGGAGCATGTAGGGATTGAAGAGCAGTGATCCAAGAACTGAGCCTTGGGGGATCCCACGTCATGGTGATCAGCTTCGATTTGTGATCACCAATAGAGACAACAAAACCCCGTCTTCAAGACAAGATTTAAATCAACTATGGACTGTGTCTGAAAGTCCCACCCAGGTCATGAGCCTGTAGTGGTAGTCAGGTTTCCCATTAATAGTTTATAAATGTTACGCATCAGAGCATTCAGGGTTTGGAAAGGCTCAAGTCTTGTCCAGAAATGATCCCTTCACATGACCCCATGACCCCGTAACATGGAGCAACAGAAGTTAGTGAAGGCTCATGTTCACCAGCATCAGAGCAGAAACATCAAATGTGATGGATTTGTTGTTTTTTTTAGGGACCACCTCTTTTATATGGACGAACTGAAGCAGTAATTGCTGTTCTCTGCAGCGATGTCCACGTTAGCTGTCACTGACGCCCCATGCGCCCTCCCCTACCCCGTAAGCTTCATAAATACAGCAGCTGTTTCCCTCCTGACTGCAGCTGGTTGTCAGTCTTTGTCTGACCTGACGAACAGCCAGCAGTGTGTGCTCTGCGGCTCAGCTGTCTCTTAAAAATACCATGCCGAGATTATAAACTCTGAAGATGTCTACTGATCCAGAGACGGTCCCGTGTACCAACATGTCAGATGCACCTGGGCCAGGTAAAGGAAGTGCTTTTGACTCTGCCAACACTGAGGAGAAGCGCAGCAAACACGTGAGTAGCTCTAAATGCATGCACATGCTTTAGGTCTTTAAGGAAAGACTGAGTCAGCTTTATTTCCTAACATTTATGATTCATATCCTGCAGTAAGAAAAAAAGATGCAGCCAGTTAGTTGAAATTGTACTGATTTATGTAAGAATACTAAAAGACACGAGAATATTCGTAAACATTCAGTTTGATCGTGGCTCTACTTACAGAGATCTCTGACACGTAAAGCCAGTCACACGTGGACTGGACATGCTATATTCACTCGGGACGGGACGGAGTCTTTGCTGTTATTGACCGATAGTTCCATGTTCCTTTAAAATGTACTGAGAAGAAAGCTGTTGAGGAAATAATTTCCCCTGTAGAAGAAAGTTTTCAGCAACTGTCTGACCTTGGAGAGAAAGTACTCTGCTCAAGAAAAATAAAGAGAACAGAAAAAAGACATCCTAGATCTGAACGAATGAAATATGCTTGTTAAACACTTTGATCTTTACATGGTTGAATGAGCTGACAACGAAATCACACAAACCTAACCGATGGAAATCAAATTTAGCAACCCGTGGAGGTCTGGATTTGCAGGCACACGCAAAATGAAAGTGGAAAAACACAGGCTGATCCAGCAGTGATGGAATCTCCTCAAAACAAGGTTCAGTCGTGTGTGTGGCCTCCACCTACCCGTGTGACTTCCTTACAACACCTGGGCATGCTCCTGAGGAGGTGGTGGATGGTCTCCTGAGGAATCTTATTCCCAGACCTGGACTAAAGCCTGGACAGGCTGTGGTGCAGCGTGGTGTTGGTGGATGGAGCGAAACACAGTGTCCCAGATGTGCTCAGCTGGGTTCAGGTCTGGGGCACAGGCGGGCCAGTCCATAGCGTCAGTGCCTTCGTCTTACATGAACTGTTGACACACTCCAGCCACAGGTCTAACATTGTCCTGCATTAGGAGGAGCCCAGGGCCAACCGAGGGGTCTGAGGAGCTCATCTCGGTTCCTAATGGCAGTCAGGCTACCTCTGGTGAGCACATGGAGAGCTGTGGGGCCTCCAAAGACATACCACCCCACACCATTACTGACCCACTGCCAAAGCGGTCATGCTGGAGGATGTAGCAGGCAGCAGAACGTTCTCCACATCGTCTCAGGACTCTGTGAAGAGCACATGGCACCAGTGGTGAATTGGCCAATCTTGGTGGTCACAACCCCCACCTGTGTGCAATGGGCCCTCATACCTTCATGCAATTGGTTTCTGACCGTTTGAACATACATGTGCACATTTGTGGCCCACTGGAGGTAATGTTGCAGGGCTCTGGCAGTGCTCCTCCTGTTCCTCCTTGCCCAAAGGTGGAGATAGCAGTGCAGCTGCTGGGCTGGTGCCCTCCTACGGCCTCCTCCATGTCTCCTGATGTACTGGCCTGTCTCCTGGTAGTACCTCAATTCTCTGGACTCTACACTGACTAACACAGGAAACCTTCTTGTCACAGCTAACGCTGATGAGCCATCCTGGATGAGCGGCCCTATCTGAGACACTTGTGTGGTTTGGAGACTCCGTCTCATGCTACCAGTGAAAGCATCGCCAGCATTCATAAGTGACCAAACATCAGTCAGAAAGCCACTGTAAATTAGAGCATCGATCGATCGATCGATCAATCAATCAATCAATCAATCGATCAATCGATCGATCGATCGTCGATCATCGATCAATCAATCTATCTATCTATCTATCCATCTATCTATCTATCTATCTATCTATCTATCTATCTATCTATCTATCTATCTATCTATCTATCTATCTATCTATCTATAAACCAATCAATTGATCAATCAATCAATCAATCAATAAACCAGTCAAACAATATCAATCAATCAATCAATATCAATCAATAAACCAATCAATCAATAAATCAATCAATCAATCAATAAACCAATCAATCAATCAATCAATCAATCAATAAACCAATCAATTAATCAAATTTTATTTATAAAGCGATTTTCAGACAAAGTGCTTTACAGAATTAAAATGACCCCAAATTCCCATAACAGTTTAAAAGCATTCTCACACACACACACACACACACACACACACACACACACACACACACACACACACACACACACACACACACACACACACACACACACACACACACACACACACACACACACACACACACACACACACACACACACACACACACACGGGTTGAGCCAAGTAAGTGAAGGCAAGGAAACGCCATCAGAGGGGCCATCGTTCCCGGCAGCATCAGGTCCTCCACAGCAACTAGGTCAGGGCGCTCAGAGGAGGGAGAGCATAGACCCCCACCTCCACTCAAACACTACCTGTAGAGCGCCCCGGCAGCAACAGTTATCCAGGTGTTTTCCTGCTTAAACGATAAGGTGACGTCCAGTGGAGGAGATGTGAATCGGGACAGCTGGAGACACCTGTTGGGTCAGCCATCCAACTCCAAGAAAAGTGCTGCAACCATCATCTTCACTCTGAAAAATGAAGTGGGAGGTCTTGTCAGGGCTCTGAAGCTTTTCCAGGTGGGTTTTTTAACCATTCTGATGGGATCTGAACTCTTCCTGTTCTGCTCTGGGACAACAGACGTTAGATGGGTATCCATCTGTTTGTTGTTATAATCTTTGTTTGTTTTTAATACTTTGCAGGACAAACATGTCAACCTTGTTCATATTGAGTCTCGTAAATCCAAACGTAGGGACTCGGACTTTGAGATCTTCGTGGACTGTGATTCGGAGCACGAACAGCTGAAGGAGCTGACTCAGCTGCTGAGGAAGCACACGGATGTTGTTGAGATCACGTCGCCTCACAACTCTGCTCTACTTGATGACGGTAGCCGTTTGCTCCTGACTAGATTTGTTAAAGTTCACCTAACAACTTCAGTGATGATGCTGATTTTAGGTGTGGAGGGTGCTCCCTGGTTCCCCAAGAAGATCGCTGATTTGGACCTTTGTGCCAACAAGGTTTTGATGTACGGCTCTGAACTAGATGCCGATCACCCGGTATGGACTTCTGGTTTAGAGCAGCTCTCATAAACAAGCTTTGAAATTCAAGAAAATGGAGTCAAATGAAAGAAAGTTTAACCGACAACTGTTTTCACAGGGATTTAAAGACAATGTCTACCGCAAACGAAGGAAATACTTTGCTGACCTGGCCTTGAACTTCAAACAGTAAGTTCTCATTTTGTCCTGAGAGTTTTGTTTTTTCATGCTGTGAAACTTAAGGACAGAAATGACCGATCCTGAATGAAGGCCTGACAACGGCAGCTGTGTTGAAGTTTAGGATTTCAAAGAGATGAAAACAGTAAAGGCTGGTCGTCTGCTGGATTGTTCACATGTAGCTTGGCGCAATGTGGTGCTCGACCTCAGGAGACCGATCTTCTCTTCCCTCTCTCTGGGCTCGTCTTTTTGAGATGTCTTGCCAGCCAATCATCTGTCTCCATTTAGTCCTGTCTTCTGCACCCTCTACCCCCACACCAACTGACTTCATCTCCTCTTTCACCATATTCATAAATCTAAAATATTTCATGCAGATCACACACAGACCTGTGTTCTGTGTTCTTCTACAAGAGAAATCCAATACCGTGGTACTGAGTCGGATAAAGGTAGAATGCCTTCCCCAGGTCAGGGACAGGGTCTTGTTCATGGGTGAGGGAACGATGGACAGGTAGATTTGTGCTGCATCTGCAGGGATGTGGGTGTTGTACCGGTCTGTCGTGGTGAAGAGAGAGCTGAGCTGGAAGGCGAAGCTCCCGATTTACCGATTGATCTACCTTCCTACCCTCACCTATGATTGAAAGAGCGAGATCGCCGATACAAGCGGCCGGAAAGAGTTTTCTCCGCAGGGTGACTGGCCTCTCCCTTACCACTTCTTTCCACGGGAGCCGTCAGCAGCACGTTACTGCAGCAGCACGTCTTGCTCGCGTAAGCTGCTGCTTGGCCCTTCCCACGAGCCGCATAGCAACAGGGGAGCAGCTGTCACCGACCGAGCACGAAGTCGCACGAGTGACGTCGTCAGTAAACACAACAACAAGCAGGAGAAAACTACAACATGGCTCCAAAAGGTTTATGTTTTATGTTCTGTCCGTTTTATAATCGCCAATACGGACCTGAAAAACAAAGGAGACCGCTAGCTAGGTGATAACTTCTCACGGGGACGCACAGCTAGTAACTTATTTTAAAAGTAAAGCAACCGGAAGGCAGTACGTTCTTTATTCTGAAAATCTCGGTAGCTTCTCTCAATTTCCGCGTCCGATTTCCTGTCTTTCCTTCCCCAAAAATGTCGAACTTGACCCGTTTCAGAGGCGTCGCGCGTAGAAAATAGAACCGGCGCGTAAAGGCCGCGACATGCTGCTCCTGAGACGCGGCCGACTCGCGCTGCTGACGGCTCCGGTGGAAAAGGTTCTGTTGATCACAGCGGTTCCTATCAGCAGCTATGACGTGCTGCTGCAGTAACGTGCTGCTGACGGCTCCCGTGGAAAGCCGGGGTGAGAGATAGGGTGAGAAGCTCTGTCATTCGGAGGGGCTTGGAGTAGACCCGCTGCTCCTCCACATCGAGAGGAGCCAGTTGAGGTGGCTCGGGCACAAGGGCAGATTTAGGATTGAAAAGGATCTGGGGCTTAGCCCAGATGAGTGATTTTCTACATGAAACATTTCAACTTTCACATTTTAACCATCGTAATGCAGACAAAAGTACTAGATTACACTTATGAACTGATATGGTGATATAATACATTTTTTGTTAACCTCCGTACAATACTGTGAAAACAAATCCTCTCTGGGACTTTACATTAGGATCTGAGCCATGTTTATGCAGCAATCCTCACATTTATTCAAATCCTTCCGTCAAAGAGAAGACAAAATTCACAGAAGTCACTGAAAGAAACTCAACGTTTAGGAAAAAGAAAATACCTAAATTATAATTAGGCAAAATAATTAGAATTAGAAAGCTCTACTGCCGTTGTTCAACAACAGAAAGTTCTGCCGGCACAATGAAACTGCAAAAAACAATAATTACATTACATGTTCAAAGCAAAAGGAAAAATCACAGGATAAATAAAAACAGCATAAACACAGCTGGCACCTGAAAGTAAAGTAATTACAACTAGGTTATTGTATATAAGGTTTTTGGTGCATGAGTGCATCAGAGTGGTGATCACCAGGAGAAAGTAACGGTTCTTGAGCCTTGAAAGAAAACTTTGCTTTTGAATTGTGGTTGAAAATAATAACAATTAAAACAAAACAGTCCCAGATAAATGAGAACACTTCACTAATGAGCTGGGGGTTAAAACACCTGTCAACAGGTGTCTGAGTCTCACAAATCCTTTGGCTGCAGTGGTCTCCTTCAAGTGTATAAACTATTAGTTTATGGACCATGGTTGTTGTTTTAAACCATTTCTGCTGCACTCCAGTTTTAAAGCAATGTCGTGATTTTAGATTTGCTATTACTTGTGTCAGTATAAACATGTCGATGACAGCTGTTCTGTTTCCTTTAAGGGTATGAACAAAACTTAAGAACTAACATGAATAAATGATGAATTCCATACACTCAAAGTGACAACGTGTAGTTTTTACCACTAATCTCTGGAAATATCCAAATAAAATGTTGTAGTAAATGACGTAAAAGATGCCCAGCTGTTGAAAAATATTGGCAGTTTCAAAACATGTAACCATAAAAATCAGGTCTAAAATACATGGAGTGGGTCAAGGGGTGTTTCTCAATGCCAAGGAACCTCGCATTGATGTCTTGGCCCCGCCCCAGTTGCCTAGGAGATACATCATCAGGAGCGGCCAAGACGTGTTCCAATGTTCATGTTCTACCGAGGCGTGTGTTCTCCGTTTGTTAGCCGTTTAGCTAGCTGAGTGAGGATACGCAGGAGGTGTCTTGTAGTCTAGCCTTGGTCAAAAATTACCCAGAATACACCGCGGTATTCTCAAAAGGATGGTGGATCAGAAGCCGGCAGCTACTTCGGGGACAATTTTCAAGTTAAAATGTAAGTCAACTAATTTATAGAATGTTTTTTTTTAGATCCAAATAAGTAATCTCTGGTTGGCTAGTTGCTTATTAGCTGCAGCTTCAGTGGTTAGCTGGTAGTAACTCACTTATATTTTTAATTTAACAAACATACACACAATTTAAAAAGTAAAAGCCTCCTTATATGTTTATATTGAAACTAATTGTGACGATTGGCGGATGAACTGAGAGACCAGGAAGTTCGGCTGTAGCGTGTTTGAATGACCCAGAGGCGGAAGAGCGAGCGTCGGGAATAAACCGGCATGTGGTTTGATCTAGGAGTGACCGTGGGACTGGACCAGAGGGAGGGCCGAGCGGATACTCCAGAGTAGAAAAGAGTTGACTTACTGAGTCAGTGATAGTCGGGGAGTTTGGTAGTCCGAAATCTCATGAGTCGGATCGTTGAAACGATGACTGAGTAGTGGCGAGAGAGCGACACCTCCGTATATAGACGGGGAGTGATGGCGTAGGTGGCGAGAGGGATGCTGGGAGTTGTAGTTAGGAGGAGGGATCCCAGTTGGAGGAGTGATGTGGGGCTGAAGTCGTGACACTAATACATATAAAATATAACGTTATCTCCCATGTCACGTGACGTTACGTAACCGCCGTGGAAGCCGCGGTCACGTGATGCAAGTGTGTTCCATTTAACTGTTTTGTTTGACCAAGGAAGGACCGTGTCCTCGTAAGCAAGGCGCCTGGCCTCGCAAGAAATCGCCTCGCAAGGCCAGGCGGCTTGACTTTGAGAAACACGCTGTCTCTGGGCGACACCATATTTGATGTCACGTTTCCTTCTACAGGAGCCCATGAGGACAAAATTCATTTACTGATCTGTAACAAATGGTTACAAAACGTTCATCATTAAAGGGGCTGTAAGGAAGTCTGACAGCCAAAACATGTATAGAAATAATAAATGTCTTCTTCATACGTTCTCCTGCAATGCCCTGGTCCTGTAGAATGAGCCCTGGCATTTTTACTGTGATTGCCTGTTTTTCTGTAAAATGACAGAAAAAGAGAGATGCTCGGGTCGAGCAAGCTGCTTCATGCGCGTTCACGCTCAGGCATCGCCCGTAGCATTTGCTATCCGTAGCTTTAGCAGCAGAGAGAGAGGCAGTGCCACTTTGTCGCTGTTCCTAACGCCTAGTGACAAAGCTAGCTACATTTCTGAGGACCCTTAGCTACTTTCTGTAGAACTTTCTTCTAGTTATTTCCTGCAAATTAGCAACAAAATAGCCATTTTCACTCCAAACCGCTCTTTGATCGCTGTCATCAAGGATACAAATACTTCAGATACAAAATAATGTCACTGGTGCTATATCTCACTTAGTAATAATAATAATAATAATAATACATTTTATTTCAAAGCGCCTTTCAGGACACCCAAGGTCACTTTACACAAAACACGTAATAAAATACAATAAAACAATAATAAAACCCAAAGAAGAAAAAACAGAGAGAAACATTTCAATAAAATCAGAGGTTGTAGGCAGATTTAAACATATGTGTTTAAAGTAAGTAAGTAAGTTACCCATAGTAAGATGTCTGACTCTCATGCAGAAGACCTGGGCTTGATTCTGGGTGTGAACATAGTTCATTTAGAGTTATTTTTTACATTAATGGTATATTTTTTACAGTAAGATGCCCAAATTTTTATTTGAGACTCGCCGAACGGCATTGAATTCACAGATAAAAAAGATGTGGGTTCAACTTTCATTTTGGAACAACTTTTCAAGCAAGGGAAGGGAATGATCTGAGCATGCAGGAGGACTGACCCATCATAAACCTTTGTCTGCTGTGCTGAAGAGAAAGGTACAGAACCACATTATTTAATTAATTAGCTGCGTGTTCTCCTGTCCTCTGTCCTCCGGGCCACACACACACACACACACACACACACACACACACACACACACACACACACACACGGGACTGTCTCAGCTGTTATTTTCGTTAAGGAGTGTGCACGTACAGCAAGCGCGCCTCGTGCACGAGCCTACTATTGAAGCTGCCATTACGCTTTTGGCCTGAGGGGGCAGTCGCGAGCATAAAAATTCAAAACTCCGTGAAGTCCCTTTAATAAACACTGTTACTTTACACATTTCCCTCTTCACTCATTGCCAGTGATGAAAGGGAATCTGATCTTGTTATTTTGCTGGAGGTTGCTGTCATGTTCTGCGGGTGGAGGTGGCAGACCATGTGTGGTGGTGGGTTCCGGAGGCAGATGAGCAGGCAGACGGATGTAAAAAATAAAAAGCTGTTTATTGTAGGACGGGAGCACAGGACGAACGAACATGGACAACGACAATGAACCGACCAAGACAACAACCAGGAGGGAGGTATAAATACACGAGGGAATCAGGAACACATGGGCAGAGTAGTCAGGGACAGGAGAGAACAATTAGGCAAATCAGGGCAGGAGAGACACATTCAGGGAGGCTGGGGGCGGATCATGACAGTACCCCCCCCCCCTCAAGGGGCAGATACCAGACGCCCACAAGCCACAAAACACAGGAGACACGGGCACGAACGAAGACCAGACCAGGGCACACATGACAAGGGAACACAGAAGACAAGACCAGGGAACAAGGAACACCATCCAGGGCTGTGGAGCAGGGGCCTCTCGGTTCAGGCGGCACTCCGTCTTACGACCCATCAGACGTGGCCAAGAACGTAGACCAGGGAAACTCAGACTCGATGACTTGACTGGACTCGATGACTTGACACGATGACTTGACTTGACTGGACTTGACACGATGACTTGACTTGACTGGACTGGACACGATGACTTGACTTGACTGGACTTGACACGATGACTTGACTGGACTTGACACGATGACTTGACTTGACATGACACGATGACTTGACTTGACTGGACTTGACACGATGACTTGACTTGACATGACACGATGACTTGACTTGACACGAACACTTGACACGAACACTTGACTCCAGGAACACAGGACACCAGGAACACAGAAACGAACTGCAGCAGCAGGCATAGGCCCCAGCAGGAACTGCTGCGTGGAGAACCTGCAGGCACAGAACCTGCAGGCGTGGACCAGGAAGTGGTTGAATAGCGGGAGCGACGCGTGGAAGCCCAGCTCGGCGGCAGGTACTCGACATCCCAATCAGAGCAGGTGCACATCCCGATCTGCTGGGTCCATCGGCAGAGGCTCGGGAGAAGGGAAGCCGGAGAAGAGCGGGGAGACCAGCCCTACCACACCGGAGAATAATGGCGTGCATAGGTGGTGTAACTCCCTTGTGGCTCCAGGATCCGCGGCTTCAGGAGAAGAACGGGACTGGGCAAAAACAGCTGGAGGAGAATGACCCTGACCACCCCGAAGACGAAGTAGGATGCGCCAGGATCTCCCAGAGGAACTTCGACCACCCCGAGAACAGGTAGGATGCACCGAACACAAAAACTCCAGGCCAGAAATCTCCCACAGCTGAAAGGGACAAAAAAGAAAAAATAATCCTCCAGGAACAGATGTATTAGCTCACCACAGGTCCAGGTTTGGTTGGTTCATTCTGTCATGTTCTGCGGGTGGAGATGGCAGACCATGTGTGGTGGTGGGTTCCAGGAGGCAGATGAGCAGGCAGACGGATGTAAAAAAATAAAAAGCTGTTTATTGTAGGACGGGAGCACAGGACGAACGAACATGGACAACGACAATGAACCGACCAAGACAACAACCAGGAGGGAGGTATAAATACACGAGGGAATCAGGAACACATGGGCAGAGTAATCAGGGACAGGTGAAGTAACAATCAACATTGGCAACTTTGTTGAACAATCTTTAACAGTTGATATGCTGTTCTTGCTCAAATAGACCTTGTGGTGAATGTATGAAGCTTGAACATGAGGTGAGATGAATGCGTGTGAGTGTCAGATTTTGCTTCAGGAAGAACAGGTGTCTGAGTGAGGTGATGGTTTGGATAAACTTAGGTCTTATTGAAAAACTGCATCAAACGCTAACTACCGTGTTCTGCCTCACCAAATTCGTGGACCCTCTTTTAGATCCGGGCCGCCAGAGGATGGTGATGTTCATCCAGGTGACACCAGCGGCTGGCAGAGGAGACGTAGGTGTCCTGCGAACCCGGTCCAGAGATGCCCGCGGTACAAGTTGATGGAAAAACGTTTGCAGATGCGTTTTGTTAAGTTTAGTTCACTCAGAAATCAAAAGACTCGGTATGAGTCTGCGTTAGAAGTTGCGATTCAGCTATTCTGTCTGGCTGACAGGAACAGCGTGGGGGGGGGGGGGGGGGGGGGGGGGGGATGAGCCGATCGGCTCTGTCCCCCCTTTGGTTTCTTCAGGTCCTCTCTCTTTCGTTGTCCATTACGAACTGAATCATAAGACTGAAACTTACCAAAAGCCTTTCTCTTCTCAAAGCAAAACGTGTGCGTCAGCAAATGTGTTTTGGAGTTTACTGTGAGAGAGTGTGTGTGTGTGTGTGTGTGAAGGTCACCACTAAAACATCCTCAGAACATTATTTAATTAAGCAGTGATTCATTAGTTATTATGATTACCCAAAGCATAATAATCATTCATTTGATTAAAACACATTTATAATGAGCAAAGTGATAATACTGATCATTTAACAACTTAAAATAACGGAAAGGAAGTTTAAGACTTTATGTTATGTTATGACTAGCTTTTCCACATCTTCTGGCCCTGCAGGTGTTCAGATGTTATGGTTTCCAGCAGACTCTTGCAGACTTCACGTCTGCAAAGGTCTCAATCTGTGGGTGAAAGTTCTCAGCGACCCAGCTTTGACCCAGCCGAGTCAAATGACCTTTGTGACAGAAAACCCATATTTCCTCACGTTACACCAGCAAAACTTTACTGACACATTTTAAATAAGATGCACAAACCTGAGTCATCCCAGATTTTGCTTTCAAACTTTTGTGGTTCTTCTAGTCCCAAAAATTAAAACAAAACCTTCCTAACATCCATGTTTCAGCCTCCCCAAGCCTATCTGTCAGGCACAGCATGCAGGCCCCTGAAGCGCTTCTTCTGGGGAGACTCCAGCAGGCTGTCAGCAATTTTCTTTGCTCTTCAAAAGTCAACATTAGATTTGGGGCTTTTCAGAAAACAATTGGGTCTTGAGCCCTAGTAGCGACCCCCAACCTCGCCCTTGCTCGGGCATCTAGTTAGGATGCCTCCCTGGTGAGGTTTTCTGGGCACGTCAAACCAGGAGGAGACCTAAAGGGAGACCCGACACACTAGAGCAGGGCCATTCGATTCCGGGCCTCGAGGGCTGGTATCCAGCATGTTTTAGTTTTAACCCTGCTTCGACACATCTGATTTCAATCAGCAGGTGATTAACAGTTTCTTTGTTACGTTCGTGCTGTGTTTGTGTTCTGATTTCATTTTCTTTAGTTCTTCATTATACACAGAGTGGTGAAGGTTTGTTTTTACCTTTGCCGACATGTTTCGACGTCACTGCCATCTTCGTCAGGGTAACCGCCAGATGTTGGTGGCGTCACTTCCTTTTATCCGATATCAGAGGATGATATGGCCCTCTGCTGCCTTTAACACACGGATCATAAACACAGAAAAAGATGGATCAAATAAGCAGTTGAAATAAGGAGGCGTGGATCCAGGACCATGAACGGGGCGAAGAAGTCTACACGCTGGACCATTCATGGGACACCGTGATCAGCGGAGAGGGCGTGAGCAGCAGAGGGCGATAGCATCCTCTGGACATTTTATTTGAACACTTTCAATACAATAAATAATGCACTGATGCTGGTTCTGACATTGTTCTATGCAGTACTATTTAGCACCAATGGAAAGGATAGATATAGTTATGTTGCAGTGTCGCCATGTCTCATATTTCATGTTGCTGAATGAACTGAGTGAAGGTGTGTTTTAAAGCGGCAGTGCCATACCTCACATCAACTACACAGCAGAAGAGGTGTGTACCTGGGGCAAGGTGTTCAGGGAGCTCAACCAGCTGTATCCCGACCACGCCTGCAGAGAGCATCTGAAGAACCTCCCACTCCTGACCAAACACTGTAACTACAGCGAAGACAGCATCCCTCAGCTGGAGGAGGTTTCACAATTCCTGATGGGTAAGATGTTCCCCAGAGAGCGATGGTGGTGGGGTGGGGGCTTTGAGATTGACATGAGAGCAGCCTGAGTCTCTTTGTCATCTGCTTATATAATATGACAGTCAGCTTCTCTGTGGTTTATCACACGTTTATCTGTCAGTTTTACATTTATACTGACTGGTCACTGGTCCCATCTTTTGAAGAGCTCAGTCACAACTCTTGAAGTAATAATTGGCTCTTCTTCGATGGTCACGAGATTGGTTGGTGACGTCTTTGCTTTATCTCCTCACACATCTGTCTCTGGAGAAGCCATTTCTTTCCAGCTGGGATTTGGAAACAGCCATCCATACTTTTACAACCTCACGCTTGAATCACTGCAACTCCCTTGCACATTCAAATTCAAAAATACTTTATTAATCCCAGAGGGAAATTCGATTGCTTCAGTACACACAATTCCAAGAACAGACATACATACAGACATAGACACACGACAAGAATTGGTGACTGTGGTCATTCGCAGCACGAGTCGCGCTACCGTTATCGATCAGGAGGGTTTACATGAGGATAGAGTCAGAGGGAGGTAAAAAAAAAAGGCACTTTAGAGTTACCCCCGACAGAGAGGGCAGCTTTGCTACGCAACAAAACACCTCAGACAGATAAGCACAGACTTCAGACGATACACAACATAAGTCTTCACTAGGTGGGGATTGAAGGTTCTGGGACTCTCCTCACTTCAGAGTGCGCAGCCGCAGAGCAGTGCTCACCACCTCCGTTTGGACAGGGGAGGGAGATAATTGGGTTAGAGGGCACATTGGCTCCTAGATACGGTTCCACGGCCTTCACCGGTCACAGTCTCGCCCAGGCTGGGATAGGGAGAAAGAGTTTCCATAGCAACGGCAGCATTCCACATTTCTTCTGAGGTGAGTTTACACTTCAGCCTCACAGGCTTCAAGGTCACCAGATTCAGATAAGAATTGTTTTGGGGCCAGACAGAGATAATTTCCTCTCTGCCTTAAAGTTTTGTTGATTTCCAACCCCTCCAGGTCCAATAATGGCGTTATCAAACTATTCCAATCTGTGCTGATCCGTCAACTCTTTCCTTGATCGAATCAACATTCTGTGCCAGAGCCTGAATCTCAGCCAAAGTTCCAAGCTTACGACTCATCTTGACAATTACCTGAGTTTGTGAGTTTACAGCACGATGCATTTCATCCCTGAGCTCCGGGATTAAGCCAATATTCCTCGAAAGCTCGTTAATTTTCCGGTATGCCAGGTAACCGCTCAGGCCAAACAGCAGGAATCCCAACACCAAAACAACAAATATCCAAACATCTTCAGAATCCTCTACAGACAGTTGAGACCGGCAGATCAGGTTCCACTGTTTCCAGGAGTCCAGATATGCCCAGCTGGTTCTGTTCCAGAGGGGCATCCGGAAGCCCCTTCTCCCGTTCTCGTCATTGAAAAGATTTTGTCAATCGCATTGAGAGACCAATGGACCAGATCCATGTTTAATAATTTCCAGTTTCCAGAAAAAGTGCAGAGAAGAGCAGTGCCCAGGCAGACAGGACACAAGAGCCTTGGGAGAGCAGGGAGGGAGAGGAGAAAAAAGTGTCTGTACTCTCCAAGAGCCGGCATGCTTTTAGCAAAAACAATCACCTTGATGGGAAACAGCAAAATAAATGTGGTCATTCATTCTGTCAATGAGGTTGCCCATTCCTTCATTGCAGTTTTACATACAGTGGGGAGGAAAGTATTTAGTCAGCCACCAATTGTGCAAGTTCTCCCACTTAAAATGATGACAGAGGTCAGTAATTTACATCATAGGTACACTTCAACTGTGAGAGACAGAATGTGAAAAAAATCCATGAATTCACATGGCAGGATTTTTAAAGAATTTATTTGTAAATCGGGGTGGAAAATAAGTATTTGTTCACTTCAAACAAGGAAAATCTCTGGCTCTCACAGACCTGCAACGTCTTCCTTAAGAAGCTTTTCTGTCCTCCACTCGTTACCTGTATTAATGGCACCTGTTTGAACACATTATCTGTATTAAAGTCACCTATCCACAGCCTCAAACAGTCAGACTCCAAACTCCACTATGGCCAAGACCAAAGAGCGTTCGAAGGACACCAGGAACAGAATTGTAGACCTGCACCAGACTGGGAAGAGTGAATCTACAATAGGCAAGCAGCTTGGTGTGAAAAAATCAACTGTGGGAGCAATTATCAGAAAATGGAAGACATACAAGACCACTGATAATCTCCCTCGATCTGGGGCTCCACGCAAGATCTCATCCCGAGGGGTCAAAATGATCATGAGAACGGTGAGCAAGAATCCCAGAACCACACGGGGGGACCTGGTGAATGACCTGCAGAGAGCTGGGACCACAGTAACAAAGGTCACCATCAGTAACACACTACAACGGCAGGGAATCAAATCCTGCAGTGCCAGACGTGTTCCGCTGCTGAAGCCAGTGCATGTCCAGGCCCGTCTGAAGTTTGCCAGAGAGCACATGGATGATACAGCAGAGGATTGGGAGAATGTCATGTGGTCAGATGAAACCAAAGTAGAACTTTTTGGTATAAACTCAACTCGTCGTGTTTGGAGGAAGAAGAATACTGAGTTGCATCCCAAGAACACCATACCTACTGTGAAGCATGGGGGTGGGAACATCATGCTTTGGGGCTGTTTTTCTGCTAAGGGGACAGGACGACTGATCCGTGTTGAGGACAGAATGAATGGGGCCATGTATCGTGAGATTCTGAGCCAAAACCTCCTTCCATCAGTGAGAGCTTTGAAGATGAAACGTGGCTGGGTCTTCCAACACGACAATGATCCCAAACACACCGCCCGGGCAACAAAGGAGTGGCTCCGTAAGAAGCATTTGAAAGTCCTGGAGTGGCCTAGCCAGTCTCCAGACCTCAACCCCATAGAAAATCTGTGGAGGGAGTTGAAAGTCCGTGTTGCTCGGCGACAGCCCCAAAACATCACTGCTCTCGAGAAGATCTGCATGGAGGAATGGGCCAAAATACCAGCTACTGTGTGTGCAAACCTGGTAAAGACCTATAGTAATCGTTTGACCTCTGTTATTGCCAACAAAGTTTATGTTACAAAGTATTGAGTTGAATTTGTTATTGACCAAATACTTATTTTCCACCCTGATTTACAAATAACTTCTTTAAAAATCCTGCCATGTGAATTCATGGATTTTTTTTCACATTCTGTCTCTCACAGTTGAAGTGTACCTATGATGTAAATTACTGACCTTTGTCATCATTTTAAGTGGGAGAACTTGCACAATCGGTGGCTGACTAAATACTTTTTTGCCCCACTGTATTTACTACAAATTTGACACTCAATTTTATTTTTAAATGTGTTCAATGATAATTGATGAAGTCTTTTTTACATTTTGTTCCTGCAGAGCACTCAGGTTTCAGCATTCGACCCGTAGCCGGGTACCTGTCTCCCCGGGACTTCCTAGCAGGTCTGGCATTCAGAGTGTTCCACTGCACCCAGTATGTCCGCCACGCCTCCGAGCCTCTTTACACGCCTGAGCCGTGAGTACCGGAAACCACGTTAGACTTACAGTTGGATATCATTTACAGAGTGTGTTCTTTTGTGTGTGCGTGTGTGTGTGTGTGTGTGTGTGTGTGTGGTATGTAGGGACACATGCCATGAACTGCTGGGTCATGTTCCCTTGCTGGCAGAGCCCAGCTTCGCCCAATTCTCCCAGGAACTTGGATTGGCGTCGCTCGGTGCCTCAGACGAGGAAGTACAGAAACTTGCCACGGTGAGAACAAGAGTCTTCACCAGCAACAGCTGTGGTGTGATAACCCTTCCTCCACTGGGAAGCTGGGCTCAGCCTTGACAGCAAGCAAGGAACTCAGACTAAACGCCACAGCTGTTCTACGTCTGTGGTAGACTTACAGAAATCCATATATACAGAGCTCAGCATAAATGAGTAGACCCCCTTTAAAAAGAACAAATTTAATCAGTAGCTCAATGAACAAAAGAACAATTTCCAGAATTTTCACAAGGCTGGGTTTTATTGAACACTTGTTTATCTCCATAACATGAAATTAAGGTTAATAATAGAACTTAGATTTCAAAGTCTTCGGTTTAAGCAATTCAGTCACCTTCACCCTGTCCTTCTTCAGAAATGCAGCAGTAGCGTTAGATGTGTGCTTTGGATCATTGTTGTGTTGGAAAATTGCACAACAACCAAGAGCACGGAGAGATGGCAGCATCTTTTCCTTCAGTGTAGAGCAGTACATCGTTGAGTTCATGATGCCATCAATGAAATGCAGCTCCCCAACACCAGCAGCACTCATGCAGCCCACATAAGGACACCACCACCACCATGCTTCACTGTAGGCACCATGCAATTTCTTTTGAAGGTTTAAAACACACATCACTCCTGTTTTATCTTCACTGCACTGGCTTCCTGTCCGTTTCAGGGTTCATTTTGAACTTCTTTTATCTGTTTTAAAGTCTTTAAACGGTCTTGCCCCGCCCTGCCTCTCTGAGCTATTGCACATTCACTCCTCCTCTCGGTCGCTCAGGTCATCTGACCAGTTGCTCCTGGACGCTCCAAGGACACAGCGTAAGCTCAGAGGGGATAGCGCCTTCGCTGTTGCTGCTGCCGGCACATCTTAGAAAGTCACTGGAAACTTTTAAATCATCTTTAAAGACCCACCTTTTTAGCTTGGCTTTCGACACCGTATGAAGTTTTGGATTTCTATTTGATTTTAGTGCTTTTAACTTCATACTGTATTCTAATTTATTCTGTTTTATGTTCAGCACTTTGGTCAGGGAGGGCTGTTTTTAAAGTGCTTTATAAACAAAGCTGGCTTGGCTTGAAACCATTAGTTCCAAAAACAGTGATTTTTGTCTCATTGCTCCAGAGTATAGAGTTCCAGAAGTCTTCATCTCTTTCAGCATGGGCCCTAGCAAATCCTAGGTGTGTTTTTTTTTTTGTTCGTGGGCTTTGGGAGAGGCTTCCTTTGCGGACGATAGGCATGCATGCCATTCCTCTGCAGTGTGCAGCGATGTCACGAGAAACAGTAACTCCATGTTGGCTTTCTACTGCTTTAGCTAACTGCAGTGAACTTTCATGGAGAGGTTCTGCAACCTTCTTGTCAGAAGGTGCTCCTGTCAAGACGTGAACTTCCATGGACAGCCTGGACGTCTCTGTAAGACGGTTGCACGTCCATCTTTCTTAAATGTTTGGATCACTTTTGCTACAATATTCTGACTGATATGTAAAGCTTTGCTGATCTTGTAGCCCTCACCTGTTTTGTGTAAAGAAATGATTTCCTTTCTCAGATTTTGTGACGTTTCTCTTCCTTGTGGAGCTGTTGCTGACAGCATGGAATGGGAAGGGCTTTTCCCCGTTAAGTAATGTCCTTTTCTAGTCACCCGTCTGCTGGACGCCTCTTAGATGAATCATCAGATTCACCTTTGGTAGAATAAGTGCTCATTTGAATTCTGTAATCTTCAGTGTGGTTTGTCTCCTAGACTATATTGTGTAAATGAACAAATCTTGTTTGAAATCATGTCTCACATTTTTGGGAGTACTTTGTATTTTGGTATCTCGTAGAAAATGTTGATTCTGAAAGGAAACTAAAGGTTTTCTGACAAATGTAGTGGGGTGTACTCATGTATGCTGAGCAATGTATGTCTTTATTACAGGATTATTACCATTACTGCATCAGAATGATTAATGTTGAATAAATATTGATTTTACAAACCGTAGAATTTTATGCCGCTTTCACATTAGGGCCGGTCCGGTCTGGGCTGGGTGACACTGTTCCAGGTCTCACACTGGTTGAGTTTGTTCACACACACTTCTCAGGAACGCAAAAACCTCCAAGCACACGGGTGGGACAAAGACGCGTGGAGAAGACCGTGGTGTCTCCCTTAAGTTAAACAAAAGTGTTGCTTTGGAGACTTTGCCTCTGATATCGTAGCCAGACTGCTGTGGGGCAGCTCAAGCCTTGGCAGCACTGTGTGTGTGTGTGTGTGTGTGTGTGTGTGTGTGTGTGTGTGTGTGTGTGTGTGTGTGTGTGTGCTCCTTACAGCACATCACAGTGATGGAGACAGAGAGACAACTTTAGGCAGAGGAGATGTTTACTCCACTGCATCCAGAATGATAATGAATGGCACACGCGGGAAGCCATCACTGGCTGATTCTACCCTCCAGTCGGGGGCTCCCCCTAAGGGTAAGCATGATTTTGAGCCGGCCAATCGGGCTACCCAGATGTGAACACTTACACCATACCTGGTCGAGGTAAAGCTGGCTCTGATGTGAAAGCAGCTTTAGATTTTAAACCTGAAACTTTCTGTCACAACTTTTGTTGAGTTTTCAGATGAATGACAGAAAAAACTTAGCCTGGCAAGCCATCCTATACATGTCGATATATAGTCTAGTCTACGGTTGTCTTTCAAACTGTCCACACTCTGGTGGACATCAGTTTGACCCATCGGAGCAGCGCACAACCAGACATATTCACAGCTACGGATCTCAGACTGCAGAGCAAAGTTCAGGCAAGTGCTAGACCTGCTGAGGCTACAGTGGAGCATGGCTAGTCAGACCTGCAGCGCTAATTCTGTTGCTCCTGCTACTGCGTCTCTGGTTTTCCAAGCTATGAAAAACTATTTCAGGCCCAGAAGGTTTTAGGGCTGAACTACACGGGTGGCACAAGCTCCATTCAACGAGCTGAAACCATGACAGCATAGCTTTTGTACTTGTATGTTTTGATGTTTTTACATGAACCCTACACAGTAACGGTCTGTTGGACTAACCGGGTGGTACCACCCGACCTGTGTGTGTGTTGTAGTGTTATTTCTTCACAGTGGAGTTCGGTCTGTGTAAGCAGGATGGAGTGTTAAAGGCCTACGGAGCTGGACTCCTCTCCTCGGTCAGCGAACTCAAGGTGACTTAAAATCATTCTGTTTGTTTACAAAAGACGCCAACAAGGTTCTGGAGCTATGAGTAACGGACACTGACTGTGATCGTGTCAGCTCAAAAAGAACATCTTTTTCTGCTGTTAGCATGCTTTGTCTGGGGAGGCCAGCATCCGCCCGTTTGACCCCGTCCTGACCTGCAACCAGGAGTGCATGATAACCACGTTCCAGGAGGTCTACTTTGTTGCAGAAAGTTTTGAAGAAGCCAAAAACAAAATGAGGTAAACACACTAATGTTTTGATTTTAATAAGGAAAAGCATTCATCATGAATCCTATCATCAGTTCCCAACACTGAAAAGCATGAATGTCAGTCTTTAGATGTACAGCGTTTCAGACGTTCCAGTAGATTAAATAATAATAATAATAATTAAACACAATTTAAGCAAATGTTAAAGTTTTTTCAGACTTTTACTTTTGTTTCTTATACGTTACGATGCCATCCATCCATTTTGGTCCACTTGTCCAGAGTCGGGTCGCGGGGGCAGCAGCCTAAGCCCAGATTTTCTCTCCCCAGCCACTTGGGCCAGCCCCTCCGTGGGAATCCTAAGGTGTTCCCTGGCCAGTTGAGAGAAATAGTCCCTCCAGCGTGTCCTAGGTCTTCTTTTAGGTCTTCTCCCAGTTGGACGGGCCTGGAAAACCTCACCAGGGAGGTGTCCAGGAAGCCCGAGCTACCTCAACTGGCTCCTCTCGATGTGGAGGAGCAGCAAGTCTACTCCGAGCCCCTCCCAGATCACCGATCTGCAGCACACAAGGATATTGCCCTTTGTGTTTTGAAAATGAGACTCTCCTACGTCTGCCAGCTTGAGAGGTGTAGCTCAAATGTATTTGTGAACATTGATCTGAGGATCTTTTCCAGTTGGAGGAGTCAGGATGGACAGGAGGGCTAACCTGTTCTTCTCCAGATGACCATTCTTCCCAAAGCTTTAAACCGTTCAAAGGAGATTCATTAGAGAATCTCTTCTGAGGTCCTCCAGTTCTCAGAAGTCAAACACCTGGACGAGTCCGTCCCAAAGTGGCTTTTTTGCTGCCCTGCTGGACACCAGATCATCCTCCAGAAGTCTTCTCCTCAAGGGGCTCAAATCTACTCTGGTGGATTCCCGATCCCACAGCTGGATCCACTTTAGGAGACGGCTCAGCTGCTGCTGGACGTTATTTGGCACCCTGAAGCTTTCTTCGTCAGTACAATAGAACTGTTAAAGTCCTTGTCATGACTACTGGGAATCAATGCCACTTCAGATCTCTCTTTAGAACATTCTAGATCAAGGATCACCAACCTTTGAGAAGACGCTCTACATCTTGAGTTCTACAACCTCCAGTTCTGTCTCCTGTCTTGTCCTCTTGGACACTGCCTCTAAACCATACAACATGGCTCATCTCACTACTGGCTTCTACACCATTTCTGTGATTCTTTCTGAACCCCTTTTATCACACCGGACACTTTTCTCCACCCACTCCACCCTGCTTCACACACGGCACCTCTTTTCCACCCTCTGTTGCTTTGGAGACTCCTGTCTGGCATCGTCTGTCAGCTTGTCTCATCAAAACGGAAACAAGAAGGGGCCTAGAGTCGATCCATGACCCAGTCCCACCTCCACCTTGAACTCCTGCAGCGCACCTCACTGCTGTCTCACAGCTCTCAGACATGTTCTGTTCCACTCTAATATACTTCTCTGCCACTCCAGACCTCATCATGCATCACAGCTCTTCTCAGCACCCTGTCATACGCTTTCCCTATCTACAAAGACACAATGCAGCTCCTTCTGACCTTCTCTGTTCTTCTTCATCAGCATCCTTAAAGCAAAACTAACATCTGTTGTACTCTTTGTTGGCATGGAACCACTCTGCTGCTCACAAATGCTCATGTCTGGCCTAAGCCTAGCATCCACCACTCGTTCCCAGAGCATCATTCTATCACTCGTTAGCTCTATTTGTCTGTATTCTATATGACACCTCTGCTGCCATGTTTACATCACATAACATACAAGTATGTTCTGGCATAACTGAATCAAAAGATAAAAACAGTAGAGACAACACGAGCAGACTGACAGAATACACGTACAATGGACCGACACAAGACAAAGACAAGACAGGGCTTAAATAGACTGGGAGGAACAATCAGGGAAACAGGAAGCAGGTGTGTGGAGTGAGGGCTGGAGGGAAGGCAGGTGAGAACAATTTATCTAAATGGGGAAGCAGAACCAAAGGAGGGCAGATAAACACAAAACTGAACTAAAAGACTGAGGGAAGAGCTCACACACACACAATCACACCCAAATACACTCACAGACACTGAATTGGGGAATGGACACGCACGCACGCACACACACACACACACACACACTGAGTTGGGGAATGGACACACACTCACCCACAACAGACACAGAGCTGGGGACAAAGAGGCTGGAGCTATAACTGGAGGGGATGGGGATGATCGAATGCCTACAAACAGAAAACACATAAATGAGACGCAGACAAAGGACACATGAGGGCGCTATGAGGCACAAAAAGGAATCTAGAGAGGGATGGAGGACACCAGGAGACACATAAAGGAGGGGGCAGACGCAGACCATGACAGATACGATCACTTCCTTATCCTGTCGAGGTCTCCAGGAGCTTGTTTTATTCAGGTGTGTTGGATCGAGGCAAGAGCTAAAAGTTGCAGGATGGTGAGCCCTGTTCTAGAGTTCATGTAAAGGAAAGCAGCAGCCTCTGAGACTGTTTGTGTCATTCTCAAACTGTTCTCCATGTCTGTTTATTGCTATAGTTTGTTGTAAAATGTTTTATTGTGATAATAACATAAATATCTGGGCTTTGTCCACAGGGAGTTTGCCAAAACGCTGAAGCGGCCCTTCACAGTGCACTACAACCCCTACACCCAGAGTGTGGATGTCCTGAAGGACACCAGCAACATCAACAGCATGGTGAAAGACATCCGCCACGAGCTGGACATTGTAGAAGACGCTCTGAGCCGACTCAGCAAAAAGCAGAGAGACTAACATGCCCGATCCTGTTTCTTAAGGGCCTCTATCCTGCATGCTGTAGACGTGTCTCTGGTTAACGGTAAACTATGGTGTGCTGCGCTTTGTTGCACATAGGAGAAAAAACAGTCTGGTGGCTTTTTGTTTGACTTTAACAGAGAAAGTAAACATAATTTCTAAAAGGTAAACGTGTTTATATCTGAAGGCTGAGTTTGCCACAGCTTCAACATCTGATTACATACCTTATTTATTCATGTAGTTTGCCACTATTCCACCTTTTCAGATGTTTAAATCATTTTCTTGCCGATCCGGTCTGTCGGACTTTGTAAAAAAACTGAGCTGACATTTGCTGCATGTTTTAGATCATGAACACAGCAGATTTGTTTTCTTAACCCTCCCACTGTCCTAATGGGTGGGTTTTAGGCCACTGTCACTGGGCGGTGGCTCACTTTCAAAACATGTGTAAGGCTCTCAGTTTCCTTTGTTTACCCATAAATAAATCTAAATAAATAAGTCCAAAACAACGACAGATACTGTCCAGAATGTTCCTCAGAAACTTTACTCAGTAAAATTCCAAACATTCAATCCATCCATCCATCCACCTACCCACCTACCTATCTATTTATACATCCATCCCCATTCATTTATTTATTTCACACATGGCTGTGCACATCTCCATTAAACAAAAATGATTAAAGAGAGGGATCTTACAACACAACCATGATTGAAAAGGATCAGGAAGAAGAACAATCTTATAATACCTGCTCAATTCTTTTTTCAATTCAACTTTATTTATAAAGCGCCAAATCACGACAGGAGTCGTCTCAAGGCACATCACACAATAAACATTCCAATTCAGGTCAGTTCATTAAGCCAATCAGAAATAATGTTTCCTATATAAGGAACCCAGCAGATTGCATCAAGTTACTGACTAGTGTCAGTGACTATACAGCAATCCTCATACTAACCCCCAAATTCCACTACCTCCGCTCCGGTCCGCCCCCGCCTTCCACAGCCGCTCGCTTCCGAACTCAATTTTTACCGGTACCCGCTCTACAACGGCTCCGCTCCGGTGCGGAGACCTGAGGTGCGCAAACAGGCATGCGCTGGATTTTCGAGATCTTGCGATACAGTCCGAGCAATAAATGCGGAAGTTAGATCCAAACACCCGTTGTGTGGGAGAAGCATCGGCATGAACTGTTTAATCTGCCATCATTTGTGTTGAGAGATCAGCAGTGTTTGGATCAACAAAGTGTGACTACTTTGATAGTAGAAACTGTATTTATGGCTTATTTTTGTGCATTTAAACTTCAGCCGCCATTGATAGTTGTTAAAAGTTGTTAAACCTGTGCATATGAAACAAAAAACGCCTTTTGTTTATCGATTTATTGTGAAAAACGGAAGTTGTGCTCGCTCCTTTTCCTGTTGGGCGTTTGTAATTTCTGTCCATTTACTGCGGAGGTGCTCCGGTGTCCGGCGAAAATAGGATCGATTCTATTTTTGCCAGACGCCGGAACAGAGGGCGGCGCACTGCCGGAGCACGGCCGCAGTAATGGAATTGCTCTGATTGACTACAAAGGGACAGATTTTGCTCCGGAGTTCGTGTCAGAGCGGAGCGCAGCGGAGCGGAGGTAGTGGAATTTGGGGGTAAGCAAGCATTTAGCGACAGTGGAGAGGAAAACTCCCTTTTAACAGGAAGAAACCTCCAGAGGATCCTGGCTCAGTATAAGCAGCCATCCTCCACGACTCACTGGGGATCGAGAAGACAGAGCAGGCACACACACACACACACACACACACAACATATATACCAAGTAGTGTTTCCATGGTTACATTGTGATTTCTTAGTAAATATTCTATTTGGTGAGAGATAAACTTTATTGTATTTATTCTAGTGAATCTAGGATAAATATTGTGTCTCAATTCAGGGTCTGCATCCTTCGAAGGACCCAGCCTACTCAGCCGACGTGGGCTGGGTCCTCTGTCGGCCGAGTAGACCGGATGTTAACGGCTGTGAATTTGCACAGGCCTAGCCTTCATGAATTCCCGCCACTCCCTCGGCAAATGTTTACCTTTATCACCTTTTAAGACTTTTCAAGACCCAGCGGATACCCTGTAATATTAAACAATTCACATTTGTAAACAAAAATAAAATTCAAGGGTTTAATACAGAACTGATTTTATTTAGATATTTCGTTTATTTGTAAATGTTTAATCTTTCTTAACCATTTTTTCTAGCAAGCCTGTCAAAATTCTCCCTTCTCTCCTGGGCCCTCTGCTGCTCTGCCTCCCTCTGCAGCCTCAAGTTCTCCCTGATCAGCTCCAGAAGCTGGTCATCGCTGGCACCTTCCCCTGGATGCCCATTTTCTCCAGAAAAGTCTTAACAAACATGTAAGAAAAGAAACAGGAAGAGAAAAGAGGACAACGGGTTATTCCTTTCATGTTTTCGCAGAAAAAACTAAACTCAAACGACAGTTTTTTAAATATGAGATGTTGTTGTACCTCCATGCCACAGCCGCCGAATACTTTGCTCCAGTGATCATGTGGTCCATCTCCGCCCTAAGCTTAATAAAGTCCGTGGTTTTCTCTTTTGTCCCTAAAATACAAACTTCTATTAAAATCAGGGGGAAACGTAGCGGGAGAAGTACGACGCAGAGCGGCCAAACATATGACCGCAATTCAAGCACTTTTACTGTAACATTTCTAACTAAAATAACGTTCATGTATCACAAAAAGTCCTTAATCTAACAGTTTTCAAGTTTATACTGACATTTATGTGCGCAATCCTCTCCGACAGCTCCCGCTTCACTGTCCACCATTGTTTTTAAAAGTTCTACCGTCCGACCCGCAAGGCATCTTGGGAAATGTAACCCACTGAAGGATACACCGGACCCATTCTTCATGCAGGTGAAACGAAGGCCAGATTCGTCGACCGCATTTGAAGGAGTCTTCAAATTGAGACAGGCCTAGTTGCGGCGTTGTGACGTAACCGGCCGACGAAAGATTCAGACCCTGAATTGAGACGCAGCCATCAAATAAACGGGTAAACTATTAGTAGCACATGCCAATGTCAAAGAAAGTAAAATGTTATTATCAGGAGAGGGAGAATGATTAAATGGTTAGCAAGTGTTCAAGCCGATGGCCCCCTCCATGAGGCTACCACAGCTCAGCAGAACATCATTGTAGCTTCTTCTGGGGAGAAAAACACTTAGAGAAAAAATAAAGTTAACAGCTGAAATAGCAGGAAATAATACAGTTAAAGAGCAGACTGTAGAATAAAGCAGTAGAGTGTGAAAAGTGGTCAGTGTATCCTCCAGCAGTCTAAGCCGATAGCAGCATACCTATCAGTGGCGGCATGCCAGTAGAGGGCGATAGGGCGCCGCCCTCCCAGTTTCCCCCAGTGTTTTTAATTTTTATTTAAAAAAATAAATAAATAAAATTAACAATAATCACATATTCTAAGTTAATTGTGTGTTTTGTAGCAAAAATAAATCATATATATATCTATCTATATTGGTCTCTGCCGATCTCTGCCGATCTCTGCCGGTCTCTGCCAGTCTCTGCCGAGCGGTGGAGGCTGTAGGCTGTTTTTGAATCGCCCAAACAGGACGGGACCAGCTGTCCAATTGCTGACAAGAAAATCAAAGGGTAGGAATGGGAATGTATCCAATCAGCGTCGACGTTGTTTCAGAAGCATGATGGGCGATAGAGCTACCGCCAAAGGTTTCGTTGGTGTTCGGTAGAATTCGGCAGAGTCGTTTTTGGTCGTGACGCAGATGTAACATGGACGCCCCCAGTGACTACAACCAGCATGGATACCAGATCTCAGCAGCCACTGAATTCAGTTCGGTCTCTTCTCCAGTATCCGTTCGAGAGGAGAACTATGGTGGAAAAACTTAATGTCAAAGAGCTTGGACCAGATCAGCCCGACGTAAAGATAAGCCAGCAGGACAAGGAGAGAGGTAAACTGTACACACGAGGCTTCTCCCGAAATTGGTACACCAGGAAGGCTTGGCTAGCTGGATGCAATCACGCTAATGCGTTATTTTGCTTTCCGTGTTTGTTATTCAAAACGGCTGGGACAGATAAGGCATGGATGAGTCAGGAGTTACAGACATGAAACATTTTTCTGAGAAGGTGAAGAAACACGAGTCATCCCGGGCGCACATGGACAACAACACGGTGAAGCTAGCCATGCTAGGCAGAGCTAACATTGCCATGCAGCTCGACGAGGGAAACGGAAGAAATGGAGGACGTTTGGACAGGGAGAACAGCAGCAGCTGGGTGCAGAGGTAAGCTGTACATTACATTTCTGTAAACAAGACAATCAGAATCAGAAATCCTTGGTTGTCCCACAAACCGGGACATTTGTTTAATAACATGTTTAATGTGCAATAACTGTAAAAACTCATTTCAACACACATACTTATTATACATATTTAATCATGTAAATGTGTATTTCATGTAAATTTGTACATACATCAATCTGATTCCATTTTACTAGTTACACTTCTGCTGCAGCAAACAAATTTCCCAGCTTTTGGGACAATAAAACATTTCTGATTCTCAATGAGATGTTTTTACATTTGAAGTAAAAACATCTCATTGAGAACCAGAAATGTTTTATTGTCCCAAAAAGTGGGAAATGTGACATTTGTAAGAGGATACTGATGACATTATTTCCTATGAAAGTGTTTCCACTTTCCATAAGTCCTAACAGTGTAAATGTCTGGCATTTTGTCTAAGTAGTGTTTACTACCATTACTGTAACAGTGACCTGCTCATAATTTTTCGTGTTCACTCAAATGTTGAAATTAAACAAAATGTTTTTGTTACTTGCCTCTTGCATTGCCTATTTACCATTTATGGTCGTGTTATTTTATGTGCAATTTAATGCAGTATTTTTCAACCTTGGTCCGCAAGGCAGCGTGCCAATAGTCAGACACACCTGGATTAATCAGTTTGTCCAATGATGTAAGACAGGAAATAAAAGAGCTGTGCTTAATTCAGGAAATAGTGAAGTTGTGCACAAAGCTCAGAAAGCACAAGTTTGTTTTAAAAAAAAAATAGCACAGCCCCACCAAAAATATTTTTCACCAGCCGCCACTGTTGTCAGGTTTGAAGAGGTTGGACCCAATGTGCAGGTACCGAGAACGACACGGAGAGATGAGGTATGGGAAAAACAAATATGTAACTTTTATATAAGGAGCGTAAAAAAAAAAAATCCAAAGGCTCAAAAAACCAGGGAGTCAACTCAAAATAACTCACAGGAGGCCAAACTCGAAAACTGGAACACACGACGCTTCAAAACACGCTGACAGGAGAGTCACTCTCAGACAACGAACCGACAAACATCGAGAGACAAGAAATGGTTTTTATACATGGGCTGGGCAACAAGGAGTGTGACCAGTTAACTGAGTGGGGAGGTAACAGAAAGCAGGAGAAGGAAATAAACTAAACTAGATGAAATATCACACAGTGAACTAATATAAAACTAAAATGGCTACATATGAAGACCCTGAGACTAAC